GTAAAAACTATAAAATTACTGACAAAGTTCACAAATGAAATGCTTGGCTCTTTTAGAAACGTCAGCGCAAGAAGCGTGAGCCCAACGGAAACAATTTATGCACCGTAACCAGTCTTCTCCAGGCTTAGATCGGGAAAAAAGATCATTGCAATATATGCATGGACAGTCTTCTTCATCATCTTGAGAGTTATCAGAAAAATTTTTTTCCTCGAGTAACTTTTTAGTAATGTTTCGTCTCCTTTTCTCTGGCGGAGCTTTTGACTCATTTTTTGATTTAATTGCCTTTATATTAGGTTAAAACTAGAGGTTTGTCGAGTCACGTGATTCGTTGCAAGTTTTTTGTTATGTGAAATATAATAAGTTTGTAAATAATATGTAAGAAAGGAAATAAAGTTTTATACTAAAATTTCTTTTAAACAATAATGAAAGACTTTGTTTGAAAGCCATTTTTTATAATTAATAAAACGTTAAGAGATTAAGGTAAGTTCCTTAACTAAGCTCTCATAGACTAAATAACAGGTATGTCATTATGTCCGTTGCCTATGTATGTCGTTTTATCCATATAACGTTATAAAAAAAACAAAATTATAAAATAAATACAAAAATGTTACTTTTAATGGAAAAAGTTATTTAAGTGCAACAACAAATTCTTGAGGGTTGAAATAAATGTTACACAAATAGATAAAATAGCGAAAAACTTACCATCTATACAAAAAAACTTGTTGCAAGGAAAAAAACTCGTAACGTATCATTTCTTGTTGTCGGCCATGACACCCGGGCGAATGAGAGGAGTGCGTTCATATTTTGACAAGTTAGTAAGAGCTGCTCGGATAACATTGTGTCATGGTCAAATTCGAATTATGTTGCCTATGTCATTTTGTCCGTATTTCCCCTACTGGTTTATTTACAAAAGATTAAGGCAGATTTTATATGTTTTTAAATTATACAAAGTGTAAACAAAAGGTGCGTCTATATATCGTTTATGTACTCATTGTTTTATGTATATTCTCTACTGTAATAATTTTAAAAATATATATTGTATTTTAGTTGACTGAAGAGGGGCAAAGCCCAAAACGAGTACAAAACAATGTACCGTATCGACTCAGTAATAAAGGAATTTGATGGAAAACTTGCCATGTGTCTTTGGAATAGAACACAATACTAGTGTTTACTACGCCACAATTATAAAACAGGACACGGTTTCAAAAAACAAAACATTTGTATTATTAATCAAAATAAATAACTAAAGTTGTATATGAGATTTATCTATAAAAGTTTTTTATATTTTTAATCGTTATAAAATAGCAAGACTTAATTTTGAGGGTCGACATGAGTTTTATAGAACATTGTAAATGCTAACAAGTAAAATCTTCATTAATCTGACCCTTCTCAAGCTATAACACGTGACCACCCCCATCTCTCCATCCTCTTGATCTTTCATAACTACAATTTAACAGCATCAATGCACCTCACAGACAATCTACCTTGCCAAATTTCACCACCGCACCCTGAGATATTAAGCGAAATAAACGGCAAAATTTACACACATATGCATGCAATTTCTTTTTTTGGGGGGGTTCAGGGGTCTCAAAACTTGACGATTTGCAAACGACTCGGGGGAGGGGTCAAATTTGACACGATTCCCATATTTTTCCTTGTTATGTATACATAACAGCCAGAAAAGTAAAATGAAAATTATAATTTGGTATACAGGAAATTATGCATAGGACATGGAATTTCTTATGAGAACTCTTAGGAATAGTTAAAATGAAGCATTCCGTTCAGTTAAACGTTATTCAGTAGGAGTGAACTAACTGCTAGTGAAATTCTTACGTGACCTTTCCTGAAAGAAAATGATGACACACTTACTCATGCAGGAATAAGTGTGGTTCTCCGGGTTTGAACCCTCTCCATAAGAAACAGAAAACACACAACTTAGAAAATGTTCTCATATATTGTTTACTTAAAAACACTAGTTTTCAGCACGCCATTATTTCCAACCATGTGAAACGGAAAGAATAGTGCAGTTTCTTACAGTATGAGAACAGAGGAAAAAATATATATATTTTTTGGTTTTCTAGAATAATACAGCAAGTGTCGTTACCCTAGAACAATGAGGCTCTCAACTTCGAACGTTGCTTCTGAGTAAAAATGTACAGTACATTTAATTAACAACAGATGCCCTTTTCATTGTGTATGTATACGTAGTAGTTTTGAGCCTCCCCCTTAAAAATGTAAAATGGACCCATTAAATCTCCATCATTTGTAGTTTTTAACTAAAAACACCTTAAATTAAGGATTTGATTAGATTGATGGGGTAAGGCAACGCAACACGTGAGCTATATGCTGCCTCCCTACAATATATTTTTCAGAAACAAACCCCTATTCAGGTGTTATACATGTGAAAAAAACCCGGAAAACTCCAAGTTGCAGTCAAGAATTGTATAACCAAGTAATAAAAGCGAGGTATATAAATTTATTGAATGTTTAGAAACCCATAAAATTTCACTAATTTCAATGTTCATAAATAACTCCAAGCAATTATATTTAGGACTATTTTTAATCACTGGTTTAACTCCATACACTTAACATTGATTCGGACAAATTACTTGTATTTAACGAATACTTGTAACACAAATATTTATAAAAATATATATATATATTATCTTAAATTTATACAGTTTAATTCAACTTTTTACTTGGAATTTTGTACAGATCACTGTTGAGGCTGAAGTAAAAAGGGGATTCCGTGCAGTTAGTCTTATACCACCACTGACACGAAAACTTCTTCTGGCTAAATATGGTACCATTTGGGCATAAAAAGCTGTTCTGGACACCTCCGGATTGGCAAAAATGTACTACCTGTAAAATACGTTGAGATATTTTTGTATAAAAATCTGTATTATAATAAATGAAAACAAGAAGAAATTTATATGGAACCATACCTGACAAGACGCCTCCATATCGGCGTAGTATCCGTTGAAAGGAACTTGATTGCAAGTGAAAGATGTAGTGGGAATGGCGTGGTAAGTGGGATAATCCACTCCAGCTCTTCCTGGTATTTCGTCTCCATCTACATCTAGTGGTAGAGGTGCTATGGTGATGTATGCTGTACCAAATGTCGCCTTCTCCACAGGCTCCGTTGGATGATTTGGAGTAGAGGTTGGGCGATAATACGTGTAGGAAGATCGAGATCTACCGCTGTTGTTTATTGATAATCCAGTGTTCGAACCCGTTCTTCCTGAATGATCGTTATTAAAATAAATACGAGGCAGTTTGACGTTTTTATTCCTGTTCCCAGAGCGGAAGTCTTGAGAATTTCCTCCACTTTGACTGACTGAACTTGAAGATTGAGGTGAATAATTTGATCTTTGCTCATTATCTGAATTAGGATAATTATTTTGAACAACTGAAGCTTGTTTGTTTTGATTTTGCGGGGTGTTTTCTGAATCTATCGACTGTCCGCTATTCTGCAATGGATTTGAAGACCTTGCAACGTTGCCAGCATTGCTGAACCTTGCTCTATTTTGCTGGGGATTGTCGAAACTAAATCTGTTCAAATTTGGAGGAACCGTGTTAAAGTTTTGTTTATTTCGTTGTGTTTGACTTGGAAGATCCGCTGGTGATCTGTTATATTGGTAACCTACTAAAACCGGCACATTGCTGTTTTTGTGTGGTAACTGGACGTAAGTTTGACTTTGTGGTCTTCCGGATCTTCCCGAAGGAAACGAATTAACTGGAGAATAATTTGTCTGTCTGTTTACCCCGATATTTCCGTCTCTTCCCGATGTATTCCTTCCTCTTCTTCCGGGATTATCGTTAAAACCGAAGGAAGGATTCCTATCTCCTGAAGACGCATCACCTGTATAGCCTCCAGTTTGCTGATTTTCGTTAGCAAACCTGAATGTGGCAAGTGGAAGATTCAAAGAAATTTGATCTCTGAGAAGTTCGCAGGGTGTTAGTGCTTTACCTTTTTTGCGTTGAGAGTTTTCCTCGCTTACGGAGGCTTTCTGCAAGGATAACTGACTAGGAATGCTTGGACTATAGTTAGAATACCCATCTTTCTGTGGTGTCAAACCCTGGGTGTTATAACTGGAAGGATTAACATTTCTGGAGGTCAACTGCCTTGGAGAGGTATGGTTCACATTTCCTAAATTATTAGAAAATCCGCTTCCCGGTGATGATATTTGAATTTTACTGTAAGACCGTGGAGGCGTAAAAGGATTGTCATTATTCGCACGAGAAGAACCAAAATTGTCTACAACTTTTGGTGCAGTTTGATCAAGAAAATTATCACCCGAAGACCTCGAAGGGTAGTTGTTTCCTGAGATTGTACTTGAAGGGTATCTTCTTCCTGATGATGAAGGATTATTGGAATTACTGCCTGAAAATGACGATGGATTATTATCTATTTTACTCGATAATGAAGCATTAAAAGGACGCGAAGATCCAAATGTATCTTGCGTATTAAATGGACTGTTATCAGAATTTCTGTGTACAGATGGATTTGATGGGTACGGAGAGTTAAAACGTCCGATTGTAGGAGAAGAATTTCCGGAATAGGAGGAGGGATCATCATTCTTTAACGCTGGAGATGATGTTCTAGTTGGCAAACGCGCGTTATTTCCAGAGGAAGCCGGTTTGGAAAAAGAGCTGGATGTCCTTGGCAGAGTCGATCCCGAATTTGCAGCATTTCCTGATGTCGGAAGAACTGGTGCAAGTGGAAGAATTTTCTGATTTTCTCCTTGCGTTATCGTATGCTTAATTTGAGGAGGGTTATATCGTTGTTGTGCCTGTTTCTGTCGTGACAGACGAAGGGCAGGAGGAAGAATATCTTCTTCAACTTCAGATACGTACACAAAACTTTTTGGTTGTGCATGACTCAATGCCAAAAAACCTGTTTAAAAGTAGAATAAAAATTTTTGAAGATATTTACACATGAATTATGTATAAAATCTATTGGTCGACAATCTACATTTCGCTCTATCCTAATTTAAAATACACTAATATTATGTAAAGTATACTTAAGACTTCGATAATGCTGTAAAATAGATAAAAATGATTAATTGAAATGCAATATTGCTAATTAATGATCAAGTCTGCATCAGATTACATACTATATCCTTGAATATAAGAATTTTACAAATATTTTAACCAGATTAACATTTTAAAAGAAAAACTCGTTTAACTATTTCGTGTTTACATTAAGATGCATTTCCTGATTATGGCGATTAAATAATAATAATAAAAACTTGTAAACTACTTTTATGCTCTCCACAAGGCCATTGCTAAATTGTTTATAAGGTAATTCCCCGTTTATATTTGATTTTATCTAATTAATCTGTCTGCTAAATATAAAGTGAAGAACACGACAATAAATTATCATCATAATTTTAGAAATACAGATACATTTTCTCTCTATTTAATTTTGATTTTACAGTTAATTATTATTAGTATATTAAGAATAAATGAAAAATCTTGTATTTTCTATCCAATATTTCTTATAGTAATATAATTCTAGGATGTAATAATAACAGTAATATAGAGTGATTGATTAACAGAATATGCACTTTACTCGATAGAAATTATTAGATGTGTTTATGCTGAAAACGGCAAGAGGCAAGGATAGAACAAGAATGTAATTATTCCAGTATCGACAGGCAACTATCCTTCAACAAACCTGTCATCAGGGGCGAAGGTACTGGGGAGTTGAGGGGCCGTCTCGTCTCAATGTCGCAAACTCTACGGAATAGACAAAGTCACCCACCAATTCACCCAACAAATATACCGCATTTATTCGGAATTAAGAGAGATGGAGCAGTATATAGAGATAAGAAGGATGGGGAAAGCAGAACATGCTTCTCGACAGGCACTTTGTATGAGTTATCAGTATCAGTCGATAAGATCAGCCTCCACGCCTCCAATGATAAATGTGGCCCTACCTGTCACAGCACTCGAGACTATAAATCTGACAAATAATAGGCTTTTTTTGGCAAGAGAACATTGCCAATCTCGTTTCCAATCGTGTTTAATCACTCACTTTTCCTGTTTATCGTTCGGTATGATGATGGTTAAAAGTATATGAAAGGCATATTGAGCATATTCTAATTATTAAAAAAAATACATATGTATGCTATATAAAATTATTTATAATTCACCACATCACTTCCCATCATACAAACTTGCAGAAAATAATTACACCATTCTGGAAACTCTAAAAAAAAAAGCTTATCTCGAAAATCTTGAAATTTATAACCCAAAACACGACAAAACAATTACAGGAATAATATTTTCTAAACTGGTCCTTATTCAAAATTATAGTTATTTAAATATCTATAAAAAAACACACACACACACAAAAAAATATCGTTACAGCTTACCTAGCAAACAGAGGACCCAATTCATTTTGTATCTTGAATTTTCCTCCAAGTAAGTAAGTCAACAATGGGAATAAAAGCAGATGCATCTCCATATGCTTATATAGCCTATCCAATCAGCAATAGTGTCTTCCCTTTCATCAAAAATGAGACCAGTTCCTTTCCCAAGGTCTATAACAATCTAGGCCACGACTATACCTGTAAACTTCCTTTTTGTTTCCCCGCTAACTTTTACTAAATTGATGTGCAGAGTATAACATCTTCTCGCCTATTAACGCCCTGTTTTTCTCACTTTGGGTGGATACCACGCTGGGTTTTTACAATTACTACGCCAAAACGCTCGTTAGGTTCATTAATAGAATTAATAATTTACGACTTCTGACTCTCGAGATTGACGTCCCCGTGTTAATTTTATAGATATTTAAACGATGCGTTAAGGAGAAAAGTATTTTTCTTACGTTAATTAATTATTATTATTATTTTGCTTTAGTTAATATATACATATATATGTATACAATTAAGTTATTTAATTTAGGAGAAGGATGTTAATCTTCATCAAAGCGCAGGAGAGAGAAATAAAAACGTTTACATATTTCCAGTTGGGTGGGGCGCGTAAAAGATAAAATCTAAAGTGTCAAAATTGATTTTATCCCTCAGTGAATAATGATAAAATTATATTTGCAGGAATTTTCTTTACGTATCGCACTTTGTCCTTAAGGATAATGTGCTTAAAGGTGAGCAAAAGTAATTCCATACCAACACCGGGAAATTCCCCAAGATCGGATCGTTTAGGTATCACGTGGTAGGAACTTCTCGTGTTTTTCTCAAGTTCCAAACGTTCATCCCCTTCTTTAAAGAGTATTTCGCCTACATACGGGTCTTTCCTCACGCCGACTCAAGGTAACAATGACGACGATATCTAAATTTGGACAGAGAAGCGTTAAGGTGGCGACTGCGTTCCAATAACCTGTATGACCCTCCTCCACCCACGACGTCAATGCGAAAATTCCATAAGCAACGTCTGACGCATTATAAAAGAATTAATCTCTTGAAAGTCTTCATTTTTCCCCATCTAGAAGGAATGAAACCAGAGCTGGCATGACACGAAACCCATTAGGTGTATACTTTTAAAAAGCACCCCCCTCCCAGCTCATTGCTGCCACGATAAGTGTTGGTCATCCTTATCGATTGCCTTTTTTTTCTGATTAAAACTTAAAAATGTAAACAAACCAAGCGATATGGAATCTATAATTTACGTTTGTGTCCTTGAAACTGTTTATGGAGAAAGAGTTGACATCAGCGAAATATTGGTCCAATAATAAATAAAAATATGTGGTTTTTATGCTATAAACTATCATTCTGAACGGTAAAATTATTAACAAAAGCTGCGAAAGGACACAGGAATGCCGTTTTGAAGTTTCCCCTTCCGTTAATACGCACCAAAGGAACTGAAAAATTCGCTCGAAATTACGAAATGAACCGCAAATTTGTCATTTTGTCACATCCGAAAACACTTACCACCTTAAAAACTTAATTAATCGATTTATTTATAATTTATTAATTGCCTTAACAGTAAACAGTGGCACATTTTTGTAGAGGGTCTCCAATAAAAGAATTTAAGATCCTGTCGCTAAATAGACGGATAAATAAATAAACAAATAATATTATTACTTAAGACAGAAGAACTAAACAGAAGAACTTGTCTTTTATAAACGAAAAATTAAGGAAGTGCTTTCCAGTATTAGAATAGGTTAAACAGGAATAAATTATATATTATTCGGCGAAAATAGTCTATTAAACGCCTTTTAAAAATACATTAACACAGGAAATATGGATTTAAAATAATTTTTATATAATTAAAATCCAGTTTGAAGATTATAAACGTGTCCCATATATAAAGGGGAAGGCGTGTTTGAGTGCAAACAGTGCGTGTTAGTCATAATAGATTTGTATAAAAGATAAACATTTTCAGAAATTTCTAATAATAATAATAGATAAGATCCTTGTTTATTTTAAACAAAATAAAGTAAAATGTTAAGTAGGATCCACTAGAAAAATTAACACAAGTTAGAAGATAATTGGAGAAGAAGAGAAGAGGAAATTATCTGATAAATTGTAACTTTATCACCTACTCAAAAGACATTTTATCATCAACAAATTCCATTTAAATTTGGTAATTTTGTGTAAAATGTATATACATACTCCTTATAAGGATATAATATATTAAAGATTTAGTTAAATTTATGTCATTTCGTGTGAAATTTCAACACGTTTCGAGAAATTACAAGCTAGACAAACATAACAAGCGTGTGACATAATTCAAAATGCAGCTATTTATATTATTTACCTTATCGTTTCTAATATTTTAAAGGGCACACGTCCTGTTTTCCTACACTAGGCGATTTGACTAACCTAGGAATGTAAAGGTCTAGGATGTCAGAGTGGACAAATCAAGGCTTTCTTTGTCTCCTAATAGTGGGCCTCAATTTTGTATTTCGGGGTGCATTAGTTGTATCATTCTCCCTACCTCATCAAGGTGAAGGAGCCTCGTAAAATTGTCGCGTAATGATAATGTTACCTTCCGTTTCGCTATCAAATTAATATTTATCTACAGTAGTCGTGCCTGTAGACATGGCAGACTTATTACTTTAATCCAAATCTCAAGGTCCTCGACTATATCGAGATAGGAACGAGGAAAAAAACACGTAGAACGACATTTCTTCGTTATACAATTTCTAGATATATCACGACATTCGATCACGTTCTCTAACATACGATGAATTTACGTCATAATTATATTTTTATACAATACTTTATATTATTTTACTGTATGGCTATTGTTCGTGTAAATAATACAATTTTTTTTCATTTATATGTTTAGAATATTGCTTACAAACTGTATAAATGCTTACATGTAGGCTATAAATCTACTTTTACTTATAATTTATGTGTAAAAGTAAGTGTATATGAATAAAACTTCAAACAGAAATATAATACATTATAATATGTTTAAGTTTACGTGTATAAATTAAAATAATAACTGGTTATAAGCTGTTTAAACATTCAATTACTAAAATAATATGAAATTGTATGCATGTAAACTTTTTAAAATACCTATAATGTCGTTTAAATTTACATGTATACATGTATACATGATATAGTGTACAATGTTTGATGTATATGGTAGTGTATACATGTTCACAGTTTAAGTGTGCTCACTATTTAAGTGTATACATGTAAACTTATAGAAAATTTAAGGTATTTTTTAAAGTTTAAATGCATACAGTTTTTAAAATAATTTTACACATATATATGTAATTTAAATAGTATCTAACCAACACATTTTTTCATAAATTTAAAAAATAAAAACATATATATAGGCCTATATAAAATGTATATGTTAAAAATTAAACAGTATAATTTAAATTTATTATAAGTAATTTATACTTGGCATCTAATGTATATGTTGCTTCAGTTTGAATGTGTAAAAATGGCATCTAACCAACTATTTTTTTTTAAATAAAACATTTTAAAGATAAATATATAAAGTATTGATTAGATTCTGTTGAAAGTCTACACATGTATAGTACACAATTGTCCTTTAAGATGTTGTTGTTACTCAAAAGACCTTGAAAGTTCTGCATATAAATAGTTTGATTATTAATATGGATGCTTATATGAAATTGTTATGACAAAAATATATTTTAGTCAATTGAAATATATAATATAATAATTAATAATTTGGAATTTTATGCTTGATTTTACACTTATTTTCTGGTTTAAACAGTGATTTTTGAATCTTATTTTATTTTAAATTAAAAAAAACAGTAATAAAATCACAATAAAGGTATAAGCCAATATTTAGACTATAACTTTGCTAATTCAGTTTATAGGACTTTTTTAAAGACAGAATTTAGGGATTATTTTAGTCATTTAAACTTACCTTTCCTATAAAATCCCTAAATTCAAATATACATCCTTATAAAGAGTCCTACAAGTTGAATATTATGTTAAATTTCAAGATTTTAAGGCCAAATTATAGAATTTCTCAAACTGAATTGTTCTGAACCTATTTTGGGTCATTAACTATCATTTAAATTGAATTTCCTTACCATTTTTTGCCATTGAACTCTACAACAAGCCATCTTAGTTGGTTTATTATTTAAAAATAAATAAAAATAATATAATAGTTCTTGATATATTTTAAGGTGAAGAGTGAGTAAATATTTGCTTTAACCTTGATAATAATCTCTGAACTCTTTTAAGCTCCTCTTAATCATAAAAAAAAAAGAACCAGAAAATCCTGTATGAAAAGACTACATTTAATCCAGTCTTAGCCTAGTTTTTGACCTAATTAAAGGCTATTAAAACATATTAACTTGATTTTGGTAAGTTTAAAAAGTGAAATTTACGTGAGGGAAGCAAGAAAAGTGTGTAAATCCATTAAATAATTTATATTTTTACCATTAAATACTCCATTAAGTACATCTTCTTGATTCAGAAAAGTGGAAGGTGACGTCACTTATAGGACAATGACGTCATTTTCTACTTGATTTATCGTCTGGCAAAGGATAAATGCAAGTAATTCAGACTTTATCCTTATCGATTTATTTATAATTTATTAATTGCCTTAACAGTAAACAGTGGCACATTTTTGTAGAGGGTCTCCAATAAAAGAATTTAAGATCCTGTCGCTAAATAGACGGATAAATAAATAAACAAATAATATTACTACATAAGNAGAATTATTTTCTTATTTCCGTATGAAATGTATATAAAAATAATATAAAATAATTTCGTTATTAGAAATAAAAATTGAATTTTTCCGAAAAAATAAAATGGGGATTTTTGCATTTTTATTTTTTTCCTGGTTAAAGTTTTACGTATTTTTCCCTAAAATAGATACGAATATAATAATTTCCCCGTATTAAAATAAATGATTATTATTTGATATGCAAATCATTATAAATTAATTAACTTTACGTAAGAGAGAATTGTTTGGAAGTATTAAATTAAATAACAATAATTATTCTAAAATTAGACAATCAATTTTATTTCGTAAGATTTATTTGAAATAATTCCCTAAAGAAAATATGTAATATTTTTATATCAAAATGTTTATAGTTTTAATCAATCCACATTAAAAATTTTTTTATAGTATAGATGATTAATTTTCGGGTTAAAGTATAAAATTTGTATATAATAATAATTGACAGTAATTTGAAATTAAAATTTGAATTATTTCCCTGGATGAAGGAATTTTATCGCCTCCGTTAAAGAAATTTTCATTTTAAAAACCGTAAATGTTTAAATAAACATAACTTGTTCGAACAAAGGAGAAAAATTTAGCGTAAAATCATAAAAAAAAATAATAATAATAGTACAGTAATTATAAACTGGTTTCTTTATCAGCTAGCTTGTAGGGAATATTCCCTATCCTATTATTTTTAAAATAATCAGGAAGGACAGTGTTCTATTTTAAATGCTCTTTAATTATTTATATAATTGCATATAAATATAATTTAAAGCAAATTTAAATAATTTAAATTAAAATATTTTCACGGGACAAATTCAAATATTTATGTTAAGTTTATATAAATTTGCTCGATATTATAGAATAATTAATGTTTTATTAATACTCGTACGGATAACAAAAACATTAACTAATATCACTCAAAATTACACGAATCGTTTATTTTTAATAGGAAATTTATCACTTATCAAAGAGCAAAGGAAAAGTTGATTTATAAATTTACCTAACGTGCAGGGAATTTTCCCTATTTTTGGAAGAGTAAGAAAATAGATAACATCTCGAATTACGAAACGAATTTATTAATGAAATTAAAGCCGCTATATTCACTAATTTTAATTGTATTTAAATATTTGCTTTTAATTTGGATTAATTGCATAGGTATTAACACTCATACGGATAATAGAAAAAATATTAAAATTTAAAAATATTAAACATTATTATTTAAATTTTAACGAATCATTCACTTTTCGTGGGGAATTTATCATTTATCAAAGACCAAACGAAAATTTCTTATAAATTTCCCTAACGTGAAGGGAATTTTCCCTCCTTTTGAAGAAAAAAAGACAAAAAAAAATTATTCTGAAATTAAAAAACGAGTTTATTAATGAATTTAAAGCCTCACCGTTTACTAATTGTAAGAATAATTTAATTATTTGTCTTTTAATTTCGGATACGTCAGGGAATTTTATACGAGCGTAGGAGAAAATATCGAGCAGAAGACGAAACGTAGTATATACACCGATGACGTCATGGCCGGACGGAGCATGCTCAGAAACGACGTCCGTAAGAGTCGATGAAAACTTGAGTATTTGACATATGGAGTAGAAGGAAATTATTATTGTTTGAAAGATCGAAACGTTTGAAATACTTAACAAAAGACATTATTGAAATAAATAAATTATGAAGAGACGTAATGCCGATTGCGGTAAGCTTCGACGACCTGTCAAACGTACGAAAATAAGCGAAGGAGTTTACGGGAGGTAAGCCTAAATTGATCGAGATTATCGTCTGGTTTTTTTTAAGGCCATTTTACACGCTTCCACGCGTTATATCGGGGGTTTTTCGGCGCTGTTTCGAGGTCCCCGGAGCCGTATATTTTGGGTTCCGTACCCCGGGCACACCGTACTTTCGGTGGTTTTGGCGCCATATCGGGGGGGGGGGGTTCCGGGTAGCCACGGTTTGGGTTGGTACTTTTTTTTGGGCTACGTCAAAGGGTTTTGGCGCTACATCGAGGTTCTGGAAAACGTACTTGGTACTCGAGGTACTCGACTTTGGTCTACATTTGGGGGAGATTTTGGCGCTGTATGGAGGTTCCGGGAGCCGTTGTTTGGGCTTGGGATTTTTTGGCGCTGTATCAAAGTCCTCGGAGAGGTACTTTGTGTTTGGTACTGGCTGCAGCATACTTTGGTCTACGTTGGGAGTTTTTGGCGTTATGTGAAGGTTTTCGGAGCCGTATTCTGCATTCGGTACTCGAGGTACTTTGGTGGTGGATTTTGGCACCATATTGAGGTTTTGGGAGCAGTACTTTGGATTATGTCGGGGTTTTGCTTCTGTATCGAGGTTTTGGGAGCCGTACCTTGCATTTAGTACTCAGGGTACTTCACTTTGGGCTACATCTGGAGGTTTTTGGTGCTGTAGTTTGGGTTTGGTGCTTTGGGCTACGTTGGGGTTTTGACACTATATTTGGGTTTGGGTACCACGGTGGGGTCTTTGGCATGCTCTGTTTAATAAAATCTGATCAAATTTCTTACACAAAGACACCTTACAAATATATAAACAATACTTAATTATACACAATTATTCACTTTATGGAAGATGTAGTATAGTAATTATTACAATTCAAGAAAATTGTGTGTTTTATACAATTAATTTTTAGTTTTTACTGGGTTTTTTTTTTGTGTTTTAATGCTTTAAACTTTACCATTAAACTAGGATTGATAAACTGGCAATGTCCGAAGTAAGCGAGCCAAATCTGGCTTGTAAACATGTTTGACAGATAGATTGAGAGAAATAGGCTTTTGTTTGTATACAAAATGTGTCTTACATATTTACTGTTAAGACATGATTTGGCCCACCAATCAAAAAGTTTGGTCATTGTTGACTTAAAATTGATTGTATAGGATTTCCCTAAGTCTGGCCTCTTGGAAGTTACAATGATTATTTTTTAAGCATGGTGATGAGTAGAGGAATAAATTCAAGTAATTACGATGATGATGATGATGATGATCTTCAGTTTAAAAGTTTCCTTCAGACCAAACTGTATATGATTGGTGGGGAGACTGAATGCATCCTGTTAAATTTTTTGGCAACTTCATGCTGACTGTAGCTCCTCGTCATCAAAATTTGAATTTGTTTGTCCTTGCATCATGCTTTGCCTGTAAAAAAGTAAACAAACATTAATGTAACTCCTTTTAGGCCAGATTTATGTGATGTGCTGTATATTTATGTTTATTTTTTGTTTTGTTGGGAGTATTTTGTGCTTTTCTGATCTTAATTTTATATAAAAATTAACTTTTGATGAAATAAACATTCAAAACTGTAATCAATTGTGTAGAAAGTGCATATTTTGTAGGCAAAAATGCCTACAAATATGCCTACGTATTCTATATACAAAACAAAATTTAATTTATGGTAGAATCTCACTAATGGGGGAAGTCTGGTTTAAAATCAAGATTTTGCTGTGTATTAATGACTATTTTCAGTTTTATTTGTGTTTCTATTCTAGATATGTTAATGTAACTACTACAAATGTTTGTTTATTTAATTCAGAATAATTCGTATTTTTTTCCACTTCTAATGCCATAACTTTTGTATATTCAATTTTATTATGATCTAATCTTTAATAACAAAACAGATTTCTATTGAAAACACACATAAAAAGATTTTTATCAGTGAATTTATTTACTCATTGATGGTAATCGGTAATAACAAAAATAAATTTTGACATACTTGATCCGAAATTGTATTAATTCGACTTATCACTAATCGGTCGAGTATTCCGATAAAAATCTCAACAGATATTAAATTTTCTGTATTTTTTTGGAAGCCCTTTGCAAATCTATAAATTATTATTTAACGACCTATGACCTGTATTAAATTCCGAATCTAAGAAGAGCTCGAATACTCATTTTGTTTGTACGTAATTGATTTAACCAATAAGTTTAGTCCGTTTGAATGTTGTAAGTATTAAAATGCTTACTACGGAATCCTTTATTTGGACGAATATCAACGTATTCTGCTTACCTACATATTTGATGCGTTAAGTTTGGAAAGGGAACTTAATTTAGAAGGACATACTTTTACACTCTTTCTATTTGGTCCTTTTCCATATTTTAAAATTAAAAAAAAAATGGAAGAAAAAATTGATAAACAGAAATTTCAAGTATTTCGTAACGCTTAGCTGATATTTTCCGCACTTTTATCAGCAGGAAGTGAGTACGTAAAGAGCAAAATATCCCCAATCTACCTTACAGATTCAAGTTTTTCTGTTAACTCGAACATGTACCCGGTAATAAATAAGTAATTAATAAACAATAAAGGATAATATTTATAATTTATATATAACGTATAATTATTATTTGTTATATCAGATGGGGTGACAATTAACGTTCTACCTACAAGGCCTGCATATAAAAATATTTTTAAAATTATAGAATAGATATAATTTGTCAGATTGCTTGATAATAATACATTAAACTAATAAATCTAAGCAATATTATTATTTAATTTATAAAATTAATCAGGCTAATATTATTTGCCTATTTTATTATAAAAATTATTTAATCGACAGATGAACCGAAGAATTTTTTTAGATCTTTTCAATTTATAACGTAAGAAAAAAATAAAGAAAAACCTAATGAATAGTAGATTTTATGGCCAAGAATTTAATTGGTTTGGCTCTTGGCCAGTTATGTCAATGAGATACAATATAATTGAGTTTCAGGAATTTATATTTAAAACAAAGTTTTTGTAAATAGAAAAAATATTATTTCTAGTATTAGGAAATATAAAGTTTTTACAAATCAATCGTATAAATTAATTTATGTTAAGTTAAATAAGTGAAGATAATTAAAGCGTACTCGTCTCCAATCACCTTCGCACTTGTGTTTCGATTAAAAATGTCCACTTCGGAATTTAAAATACAAGTTATTGATGATTTGCATTTATCATCGTTTGTTACGGCTTACATAATCGTAATTATTTTTAATTTCTTTTCGAATTTTACCTGTTTTTTTTTAATTGTAATGACATGTCAAGTTTATTTTTTCACATTTAAAGTGTTTATTAAATAACTAGTAACAAGTTTAATTTAATTTGAAACATTATAAGGCAGGTAGAAGTTCTTACAACAGGCGATTTATAATACAAGTTGGTTTGAATTAGGTTTCGAATTTCAAATATCTCCCATCAACTTCTGTATTTGTTACTTTAAAACGTAATTACTGAAATTTGAGTACCACTTGATGCCAAATCACACAAGTAACACAATAAATGACTGTCCTCCGACGTTAGAACCTTTTAATCGACATAAAATATGCACTGTCTAAGGTACTTGTGTATATATTTTAAGCCGATTTTAAAGGTTCTAATGCCGAAAAACAATCATTTGTTGTGTTACTTCTGAAACATAATTTTTCGAAGAAGCAAATTGATGCAATAACGCAATGAACTGTCTTCTCGGAAATATTTATAGAGTTATTTTGTTACTCAACCTTACATTTTCTATGCACCAATTCATAACCATTTGTGTAAGACTGTTTTGCTCTATTAAAATTATTTTGTTAAATAGATAATTAATGATGTCTGTACTACTCCCTGTCTATATTCTTTCAGTAGTCCTTTCAAGATATATTTTTAATTGGCAATTGTCCGAAAACAATGGCAGTGTGTATATTTAAATATGTAAATTGATCAATGGATAATGTATGCAATTATTTTAACAGTTCGAAAGCTCTGTTTATTGCAAAGTTATCAAATTTAAATTACAAAGTACGTTGACGACAATGCAAAACAAATAAACCTTTGTTTTACGATATTGTTCCAGTGTTTTTTTCTGTGTAAAAAATGTGTTTAATTTTATGCAAATTCATACCAGTTAGCTATTTTTATAAATTACACAGCAAAATATTTATGTAAAACTCATATAAACATAAGATTATGGGATTAGATCAACAGAGATAATTAATTTAAAAAAAAAGAAAAACAGTCAAACAATCATTCGTATGCTCGTAATTAGTTATGATAATTTAGTTTTAAATAATATACTTAGTTATATAAGAGAATTATATAATATCCGTCAAGTTTATTCCTTAAAGACGTAATTAATTAGCAAAATAAAGGACGGAAAATACTCTTACAGCTAAATTTTAATTAATTAATTCATAATTCTTTTGTAAAATTGTTATTTATAAATATAATTTACACGTTTAATTAATTTTTTAAGTATTATTAACAGCTCTGCACAAATTTTATAATTAGTAACGTCAATGTTTTTAAAAAAAATGGCAGCATGAAATACAACTTGTTTACATTTCTAAATTGTAAATTTGAAACTATAAAAGTTTGTTTTGTGTTATTTATTTACAAAATTTGGAAAATGGAATTATAAAACAATATTTTCTGTTTTCCGATAAACAAGTTTATAAAATTTTATTGCTTTTCTTTGCAGTACTTTCCTGTATTTGAAATTTTTATTGCTATGGGCATTAATGCTACTGGCTGATTTTATTGTGGAATTTAGATTTGAATATTTATGGCCATTCTGGTTGTTATTGAGAAGTGTTTATGACTCTTTTAAATATCAGGGATTGGTAAGTTTTTAGTATCACTTTATTAATGTATAGATGCTTATATTTATTCACTTAATATGATATTTCTCTTGACATTTTTTGAAGTAAAAATAATTATAATTATTGAAGTTAAATATCGTTAAAATAATTATTGTAATGATAAGTATATGCTTATGAATGTGTTAAATTAATAATATTTAGAAAAAAATATTTCAGCTAATTGATATAAAAATCTCAAATATTTTTGGATCTATAGGCTCATCCTAATGTGTTTATAGGCTCAAAAATATTTGGGAGTTCGATAGTAAACTCTACGAAAGCAGCTTTTATAATTGTTAAATATTGAAGTGAGTAGATTTTATGCATTCTTGCGTATAATATGAGAGCTTCCGAAACGAATACTACCATTTTAAATTACTGCAATTATGTTAATTATTATCCGAGAAGTATGCAACATACCCCAATCGATAGGATAATCATCAGAGTTAAGTCTCCTGTCTACATTTATGAACAGAAACAGTGACTCCACGTCTCGGAAGGCATTTTGCATTCTGTGGTTTACAAAGCCGGAATCACTTGTCACCATGCAACACAAATAATGTACGGTACTCGTAGAATTGTGAGTGCCAAGGGAAGAGGAATGTGATGGATGTTTTGTAGCAAATGTAGGAAGAACTTGAGCATTGGTTGGATGATGCGAGGTGCACACATGGAGAAATTATAATGGCAGATGTGAAATTTGAATGGTTTTCTAATATTTTAATATACATTACAATGTTCTCACATAGTAATTAACATAATTACAATAATTTAAAATCTATCGTTTTTTGGATGACCCTGCATTTTAAAAAAAATATATAATTTTCTAATTAATTTTAAAACAAATTAATTATATTATGTTTTTAAGTTTGTAATATAAGTTTTGATTATATATTACATATTTTGCTATTAAAACTAAAAATTCTATACACTGGATATTCTCGCACATGTTATGGCTGATATTTAAACTCGTGAGTAAAAATACAAAATGACATAATTTCTAAAACGCAACTATCAAATGAGTGCGATTATTCATACTTATTTTTATACAAAACAGCATATGTAAACAAAACCAAATAATTTCTCTTATAATAGAGTTACAAAAAAAAAACATTTTTTAAAATAGTAACTTGCAACAGCGTACCACACAGAGAACGTAATTTTTTTTTTCCGAACACGTTTGATAATTAAATAAAACATAAATCAAAATACTTATACAATTTTTTTTAATTAAAAATTATATATGATTGTGTCAAAAGTGCTGACAGATACTATTTAATTAATTACTTGTGATATGAGAAATTGGGTGTGTAATTTATTTTGAAATTTTCAATTTGTGACAAAGGAGAATTTACAAAATTCTGGAAAAACAGCTTTTATTATTAGAAATGTTACTGGCACCACATCAGTTTTCTTTGTAATCGTGTATTGGCAGATAAAACTAGTTTGACATTGTAGTTCTGTTAAATCGTACTCTGCGTAATCATCAGTGTTATTTTATAAACACTGGTGTTTTTCTAAAAAAAATTCTTTATATTTACGCACTAATTTCTATTTTATTTCTCAAGTTTTATACTTAAAATACTAAAAAGCAAAAGTAATATCATACCTTGTATATCCATTCATAAAAGCCCAGTATTCTTGTTTCATTGTCAAATTTTATTATAAAAAAAACAACTAGAAAACCAAATGGAATGCCAAATTATACTGCTATATAATTAATTAAATACTAGATAAAACACTGCCTACCTCTAGACAAATTAATTAGTATTTAATTACTTACATAGTCTGATAATCCGGCAGTTCATTTGGCTTTAGTTATGAGAACTTAAAATGAAGGTTAGTATCTACACAACAGAATTTTTCTACTATAACTGTAAATTCTGTTATCAGTATTAGCTTGTCCCATTACACAAGACTGAAAAATTCATTTACAAATGCCATAATTGGAACTTGATTACAGTAAGCAGTAAGTTTCATTATCAGGTAAACAGGAATTTTTAAGCTGTCTTTTTTGCACTTATCATATATTATCAGTGCTCTAAATGTCATATCCTAGTAACAACTGAAAGTATTTTGTTTATGTGAATGGTTTTATTGGCCAAAACAGTTGAAAAACAATGATTGTTCAAATCGACAGTTGTTGCAGTATTGGAATGTTTATTAGTTTAAACTTTATGTGCAAGGTTGTGTAAACTGTGTTAAAAGCAAGGGAAAAAAGCAAAGGAAGTTAAATAGGTATGATCTTGCTAAGCTTCAGAGTTGTTACAGGAGCTGTCATCTGCTTTTGAAGTTTTCCAGCAGGAAAAAAATCTAACAAAACTATTCGAGTTTTGCTAGATTTGTTCGATTCATTCTCTGCTTACTTACATTTTCTTATATTTTGGGTCCTTCTCACATCACACTGATCAAAGTAATGCACAGCATGTACAGGTTTAAGAATTTTAGTTTGCCTTCTCTAGCTGATAAAAGCCTAGAGAGAGAATTATAAAGTTCTGGTTTACAGTACAATAGTTTAAATTTCTAGCATTTCCTGCTTCAGTTATATGCTGAAGAACTTATTATTTATTAAGTTAGTTTTTTTTTTTTTTTTTGTTGAAATCAATTAAACCAGAATTTCAACTACTCGTATTCTTATTTACTTACTCTTAATTAATATTAGTTGAGAGTAAGTAAATGAGCGATTATAATTCCTATCATGATTATCATAAGCCAGTTTTAATTATAAAATATTTGTTTCAGGCGTTTTCTATATTTTTTGTCATTATTGCTGTGACATCCGACATGATCTGTTATCTATTTATCCCAGTACATTGGCTCTTTTTTGCAGCGAGTACCTATGTTTGGGTACAGTACGTTTGGCATACAGGTAAATAGAAATTTCAGATTATATTTATGTTAATGTTAAGATGAATTCCATTATTTTTTAATTAATTAATTTTTTTTTTTTTTTGCAGATAGAGGCGTTTGTCTCCCAACTGTATCTCTATGGTTGCTATTTGTATATATAGAAGCGTCTGTGCGACTTAAAGAATTGAAAAATATGCCATTTCATGTGGATTTGTGTAGACCTTTTGCAGCACATTGGTAAGATTTTAAATCATATAATCTTGAATTAATTTATTCAAATTAATTATAATAAATTAATATTTTTATTAGCATTGGTTATCCTGTTGTAACCTTAGGGTTTGGTTTTAAAAGTTACGTTGGATATAGATTAAGGCTGGTAAGTGTATATATTTTTTTTAATTTATCGTTTTATGTAAATTAAAATTAATTTATTATATCTACTTTTAAATTAAATAAGAAATTAGACCTAATTTTATAATGTAAATATTTACTACTTAAGGCTGATTGTTATCTCTTTAGTTATGCATGTAATATCCAGCAGATTTGTGTTAAAAATTTAATTCTTCATCTATGTAAAAATCTTTATTTATTTTTTTGTTTTGAAAGTTTGTGAAAATGGAAACAGACAGAACCGAACAGTTTTTTGTGTTAGAATTCTATTTAATTCTTCTGTTAATGTTTAGAATTTAGAAACTGAAATTTGTTATTTTCTATGATTTAAAAATTTATTGAAAATAACAAATCTGAGCTTTTAAAAACTTGCTATCTACTTATGTTTTTGAGAACTTTCAGGAAAAGATTTCACTATAGAAAAGGCATTGAATTTTTAATGCCATCTACTGGAGATTGTGAGCATAATCCAAGAGTTTACAATCAGCTTTATCATTAAACACAAAGATGTGGAGACAATCACATTGATATTTTATAGATAGTATACAAACTATTTTCATTCAATTTATTTTCATAAATTTCATTATTTTATTTGCAGTTTTTTTTAAAAGTTATTATAATGTTCATACAAGTATGTTATCCACCTTTACAATTTATTATACATAAAGAACTGCAGATAATATGTATTGCTGTTCAGAAAGCATGTTACACATAAATAAATTCACACACCAAGAATTGTGTATATAAAACCTGCTTTCCTTCCATAACATTTTATGATACAAACATTAATTTTTCTATTTTTAAGCCAACCCATTTCATACTTAGGTTCTGTCACATTACATACTAAGCTTTTAAAAAATATAGTTTTATCCTCTTAATCTAGTCTCAACCACTATTATGTATACTTTGTAATGACAGGGATATTTGGATAGTTTATCAACATTAGAAAAATCAGGCATTTATATGATTCCTTTACTACAACCAAACATGAACTCAAGATTATATTACAAAGGGGCTACAAACAGAAAACTTTCATATCATTGATAGAACATCAGAAACAACAGATGTCCTACAGAACTATCCAAGGATGTTTTAGATCTTAATCTTATACCTTTTTTGGCTGAATCATCAATACTCAGACAATATTGATTACAAAGCTATTTGGGAACCTTATACATTTCTACATTAGAGCCGTGAAACAAAGCTACTTTTAGAAATTTCAGGCATATATCAATAGATCTCACTGTTTAAACTTTCAAATGATTACTTCAGTGCCTTGAGTCATATATTTAGATTTATATATTTATTATTTTATATTTATTTTCATAAGTATTATTCTTATTTTACATTTATTTTTAATTTTTTAAAAAATTTTTATTGGTTATTTTTATTATTATTTTATCTGTTTTTCCTTTTTAAATGATTTTAATGTTAATATCTTCTATTTATATTTACATTTGAATTTTAATATTTGCAAATTTAAACACGTTCTTTTTCTGGTCAAATGAAATAATACTTGTTTGACCAGAAAAAGAATAAAATATATGGAATAATATGGAATAAAAATATTCTGTATTGCCTGAAGGCCATGTCAAAAGTACTTGCAAATTTATGTTAATGGAATTAACACTTTACCATTACGAAGGAGATAGAGTATTTTGTATATAATTATTGGCATGATATATATTTTTATATATGAAATATTATAATGTTCATATATCGTATTTATCATTATAAATCACTTCTTTGCTGAGAAATAGATACCCACAATTTAATCGAAATAAATTCATCTTAACAACAACAATAATAAAAAAACAAAAATTAAAATTTTTAGCTACTAATCATATTTTTGCATAAAATAATATCCTAATTACATTTTTTGATATCTTATATATAAATATAAAATTAAAGTAAAACATTTTTTCATACATTAGAATCATACTTATCTGCCATTCCTTGCACATAGGGGTTTCAGATTAGTGTGAGTGTACAGGCCCAAAGAAAACGAATCATGTGACTCACCTATTTCTCTTTGGTACTGATTCTTTTTGAAGGTGGATGGGCACAAATAACATACCATGCTATGATATGCAATATTGTACATAGACATGAAATCTAAATAAACAGGAAATGTCACCTGTGGACATTTTAGACTGTTTTACATATTTGTGCGGAGACATAGCCTCTAAAGAAAGGTTCTCTCTGCAATGGAAAATAGTCGTTCCTGGTTATTGAACATGGCAAGCAACGAAGATAGGACTAGTATCCATTTATAATGTAATTTTTACTTTATTAAACTGTATTTTTGACAGCTCTTTTTACAAAGTGATATGACTAATATTTTTATGGATACGATAGCATATAGGCAATCTTACTGGAGGATATTCTGAATCACTGAGGGCTAGATTAGTGAGACTAATGTATTTTTGAATGTACTGCATGATGATCAGTTTTCAATATTATTCTACAAACAGATTATTATATACAGTTTAAATTAAACATTTGTTAAAAAATATGCAAATGCCTTAAATCTAAACTTTTCATTGCAATTACAACAAATGTCATGATAATTACACTTGCCAACAGACTATAATTTAGATATACAGGTCCTTTAATTTTTTTATTAAAGAACCTACTAAGATTTAAACAATTAAATGGCATTTGGAAATGTTGAAATAATAATTTTATTTTGTCTGAAAATATTTTCAATAAAAATTTGATAAATATAGGGTGGTCAAAAAGTTTCTGATATACTAAATTAAGTTTCAGACCAGATTAGTCATATTTTTTTATCTCATGTATTTACAAAATAGGTGAAGTGATGCATTCAGCGAAGGAAATAAAAAAAACCCTTTTCTCCCAGATGTATTACGTTAACTGATTAGTATTCATTAGACTTGAATCCTGTAGAGTGTGTGTGGTCACGACTGCATGAATCCATATTTAAGTTATTCAGGCCATGCAAAATGATACATTAATTGATCAGGTCTAACAAGAATAAATACAGGAAAGCCTTGTTAATTTCAACTTGGATAGTTTGAAATCTCATTAGTTGGTAACTGTACTATTTGCCCTGATTGAGGATATGCAGATTTACACATTAAGCAATTTGATTAGTTTGAAATACAGTTACTTTGTAATTTGAAGTGAAAATTTTATCCAAACTGTCATATGCATATGTTAAATCATTCATTTAAATCAAAGTGCCTCCTTACTGTAAGAGAATATTATACCAAGAACAACTTTAATCTAATTTTACAGTGACACATTTTCAGGTGTCATATTATATATGGACTACCCATTTTTTCTTTTACTTCATAAAATATGGCTGGGTTTTGGGATTTCAAGATTGGGTTACAAGTATCAGATTGAGATATTTGAAATGTTCTGGTCATCCATGGACCACTGATGGTCCGTAGAGAAATTTGGAGATTGATCAACTGAAGGTTACGTGAAGCATACAAAAGAAATGCAAAATGTGTGATTTCTGTTTTTCACTCATCGCAGGTTTTTTATTTGAAGCCGAACATGAAATGACTGTTACCAATAAATAATAATGTCAATAAATCAATAAATAATTAACAATAAATAAATTTGTGAATGTGATTGTCGCTCTTCATGGAAAAGAGCCAAGAATTCATAAACTTATTTCAAACGAGCTGCAACAAACTTCACACTAATTTGTTATAATTAGAATGTTCACTAACACTATTAGTTTAAATAAACTACAAATGTACTTGGTTATTTGATTGTTTCAATTGAAAAACAAATCAAGTTTAGATGTCTTAGATCCATCTTTGGGGATGAAAATGCAAAACATACCTAAAAATGCATAATTAGCTTCAAAATGAAANGAAGAATTTTTTTAGATCTTTTCAATTTATAACGTAAGAAAAAAATAAAGAAAAACCTAATGAATAGTAGATTTTATGGCCAAGAATTTAATTGGTTTGGCTCTTGGCCAGTTATGTCAATGAGATACAATATAATTGAGTTTCAGGAATTTATATTTAAAACAAAGTTTTTGTAAATAGAAAAAATATTATTTCTAGTATTAGGAAATATAAAGTTTTTACAAATCAATTGTATAAATTAATTTATGTTAAGTTAAATAAGTGAAGATAATTAAAGCGTACTCGTCTCCAATCATCTTCGCATTTGTGTTTCGATTAAAAATGTCCACTTCGGAATTTAAAATACAAGTTATTGATGATTTGCATTTATCATCGTTTGTTACGGCTTACATAATCGTAATTATTTTTAATTTCTTTTCGAATTTTACCTGTTTTTTTTTAATTGTAATGACATGTCAAGTTTATTTTTTCACATTTAAAGTGTTTATTAAATAACTAGTAACAAGTTTAATTTAATTTGAAACATTATAAGGCAGGTAGAAGTTCTTACAACAGGCGATTTATAATACAAGTTGGTTTGAATTAGGTTTCGAATTTCAAATATCTCCCATCAACTTCTGTATTTGTTACTTTAAAACGTAATTACTGAAATTTGAGTACCACTTGATGCCAAATCACACAAGTAACACAATAAATGACTGTCCTCCGACGTTAGAACCTTTTAATCGACATAAAATATGCACTGTCTAAGGTACTTGTGTATATATTTTAAGCCGATTTTAAAGGTTCTAATGCCGAAAAACAATCATTTGTTGTGTTACTTCTGAAACATAATTTTTCGAAGAAGCAAATTGATGCAATAACGCAATGAACTGTCTTCTCGGAAATATTTATAGAGTTATTTTGTTACTCAACCTTACATTTTCTATGCACCAATTCATAACCATTTGTGTAAGACTGTTTTGCTCTATTAAAATTATTTTGTTAAATAGATAATTAATGATGTCTGTACTACTCCCTGTCTATATTCTTTCAGTAGTCCTTTCAAGATATATTTTTAATTGGCAATTGTCCGAAAACAATGGCAGTGTGTATATTTAAATATGTAAATTGATCAATGGATAATGTATGCAATTATTTTAACAGTTCGAAAGCTCTGTTTATTGCAAAGTTATCAAATTTAAATTACAAAGTACGTTGACGACAATGCAAAACAAATAAACCTTTGTTTTACGATATTGTTCCAGTGTTTTTTTCTGTGTAAAAAATGTGTTTAATTTTATGCAAATTCATACCAGTTAGCTATTTTTATAAATTACACAGCAAAATATTTATGTAAAACTCATATAAACATAAGATTATGGGATTAGATCAACAGAGATAATTAATTTAAAAAAAAAGAAAAACAGTCAAACAATCATTCGTATGCTCGTAATTAGTTATGATAATTTAGTTTTAAATAATATACTTAGTTATATAAGAGAATTATATAATATCCGTCAAGTTTATTCCTTAAAGACGTAATTAATTAGCAAAATAAAGGACGGAAAATACTCTTACAGCTAAATTTTAATTAATTAATTCATAATTCTTTTGTAAAATTGTTATTTATAAATATAATTTACACGTTTAATTAATTTTTTAAGTATTATTAACAGCTCTGCACAAATTTTATAATTAGTAACGTCAATGTTTTTAAAAAAAATGGCAGCATGAAATACAACTTGTTTACATTTCTAAATTGTAAATTTGAAACTATAAAAGTTTGTTTTGTGTTATTTATTTACAAAATTTGGAAAATGGAATTATAAAACAATATTTTCTGTTTTCCGATAAACAAGTTTATAAAATTTTATTGCTTTTCTTTGCAGTACTTTCCTGTATTTGAAATTTTTATTGCTATGGGCATTAATGCTACTGGCTGATTTTATTGTGGAATTTAGATTTGAATATTTATGGCCATTCTGGTTGTTATTGAGAAGTGTTTATGACTCTTTTAAATATCAGGGATTGGTAAGTTTTTAGTATCACTTTATTAATGTATAGATGCTTATATTTATTCACTTAATATGATATTTCTCTTGACATTTTTTGAAGTAAAAATAATTATAATTATTGAAGTTAAATATCGTTAAAATAATTATTGTAATGATAAGTATATGCTTATGAATGTGTTAAATTAATAATATTTAGAAAAAAATATTTCAGCTAATTGATATAAAAATCTCAAATATTTTTGGATCTATAGGCTCATCCTAATGTGTTTATAGGCTCAAAAATATTTGGGAGTTCGATAGTAAACTCTACGAAAGCAGCTTTTATAATTGTTAAATATTGAAGTGAGTAGATTTTATGCATTCTTGCGTATAATATGAGAGCTTCCGAAACGAATACTACCATTTTAAATTACTGCAATTATGTTAATTATTATCCGAGAAGTATGCAACATACCCCAATCGATAGGATAATCATCAGAGTTAAGTCTCCTGTCTACATTTATGAACAGAAACAGTGACTCCACGTCTCGGAAGGCATTTTGCATTCTGTGGTTTACAAAGCCGGAATCACTTGTCACCATGCAACACAAATAATGTACGGTACTCGTAGAATTGTGAGTGCCAAGGGAAGAGGAATGTGATGGATGTTTTGTAGCAAATGTAGGAAGAACTTGAGCATTGGTTGGATGATGCGAGGTGCACACATGGAGAAATTATAATGGCAGATGTGAAATTTGAATGGTTTTCTAATATTTTAATATACATTACAATGTTCTCACATAGTAATTAACATAATTACAATAATTTAAAATCTATCGTTTTTTGGATGACCCTGCATTTTAAAAAAAATATATAATTTTCTAATTAATTTTAAAACAAATTAATTATATTATGTTTTTAAGTTTGTAATATAAGTTTTGATTATATATTACATATTTTGCTATTAAAACTAAAAATTCTATACACTGGATATTCTCGCACATGTTATGGCTGATATTTAAACTCGTGAGTAAAAATACAAAATGACATAATTTCTAAAACGCAACTATCAAATGAGTGCGATTATTCATACTTATTTTTATACAAAACAGCATATGTAAACAAAACCAAATAATTTCTCTTATAATAGAGTTACAAAAAAAAAACATTTTTTAAAATAGTAACTTGCAACAGCGTACCACACAGAGAACGTAATTTTTTTTTTCCGAACACGTTTGATAATTAAATAAAACATAAATCAAAATACTTATACAATTTTTTTTAATTAAAAATTATATATGATTGTGTCAAAAGTGCTGACAGATACTATTTAATTAATTACTTGTGATATGAGAAATTGGGTGTGTAATTTATTTTGAAATTTTCAATTTGTGACAAAGGAGAATTTACAAAATTCTGGAAAAACAGCTTTTATTATTAGAAATGTTACTGGCACCACATCAGTTTTCTTTGTAATCGTGTATTGGCAGATAAAACTAGTTTGACATTGTAGTTCTGTTAAATCGTACTCTGCGTAATCATCAGTGTTATTTTATAAACACTGGTGTTTTTCTAAAAAAAATTCTTTATATTTACGCACTAATTTCTATTTTATTTCTCAAGTTTTATACTTAAAATACTAAAAAGCAAAAGTAATATCATACCTTGTATATCCATTCATAAAAGCCCAGTATTCTTGTTTCATTGTCAAATTTTATTATAAAAAAAACAACTAGAAAACCAAATGGAATGCCAAATTATACTGCTATATAATTAATTAAATACTAGATAAAACACTGCCTACCTCTAGACAAATTAATTAGTATTTAATTACTTACATAGTCTGATAATCCGGCAGTTCATTTGGCTTTAGTTATGAGAACTTAAAATGAAGGTTAGTATCTACACAACAGAATTTTTCTACTATAACTGTAAATTCTGTTATCAGTATTAGCTTGTCCCATTACACAAGACTGAAAAATTCATTTACAAATGCCATAATTGGAACTTGATTACAGTAAGCAGTAAGTTTCATTATCAGGTAAACAGGAATTTTTAAGCTGTCTTTTTTGCACTTATCATATATTATCAGTGCTCTAAATGTCATATCCTAGTAACAACTGAAAGTATTTTGTTTATGTGAATGGTTTTATTGGCCAAAACAGTTGAAAAACAATGATTGTTCAAATCGACAGTTGTTGCAGTATTGGAATGTTTATTAGTTTAAACTTTATGTGCAAGGTTGTGTAAACTGTGTTAAAAGCAAGGGAAAAAAGCAAAGGAAGTTAAATAGGTACGATCTTGCTAAGCTTCAGAGTTGTTACAGGAGCTGTCATCTGCTTTTGAAGTTTTCCAGCAGGAAAAAAATCTAACAAAACTATTCGAGTTTTGCTAGATTTGTTCGATTCATTCTCTGCTTACTTACATTTTCTTATATTTTGGGTCCTTCTCACATCACACTGATCAAAGTAATGCACAGCATGTACAGGTTTAACAATTTTAGTTTGCCTTCTCTAGCTGATAAAAGCCTAGAGAGAGAATTATAAAGTTCTGGTTTACAGTACAATAGTTTAAATTTCTAGCATTTCCTGCTTCAGTTATATGCTGAAGAACTTATTATTTATTAAGTTAGTTTTTTTTTTTTTTTTGTTGAAATCAATTAAACCAGAATTTCAACTACTCGTATTCTTATTTACTTACTCTTAATTAATATTAGTTGAGAGTAAGTAAATGAGCGATTATAATTCCTATCATGATTATCATAAGCCAGTTTTAATTATAAAATATTTGTTTCAGGCGTTTTCTATATTTTTTGTCATTATTGCTGTGACATCCGACATGATCTGTTATCTATTTATCCCAGTACATTGGCTCTTTTTTGCAGCGAGTACCTATGTTTGGGTACAGTACGTTTGGCATACAGGTAAATAGAAATTTCAGATTATATTTATGTTAATGTTAAGATGAATTCCATTATTTTTTAATTAATTAATTTTTTTTTTTTTTTGCAGATAGAGGCGTTTGTCTCCCAACTGTATCTCTATGGTTGCTATTTGTATATATAGAAGCGTCTGTGCGACTTAAAGAATTGAAAAATATGCCATTTCATGTGGATTTGTGTAGACCTTTTGCAGCACATTGGTAAGATTTTAAATCATATAATCTTGAATTAATTTATTCAAATTAATTATAATAAATTAATATTTTTATTAGCATTGGTTATCCTGTTGTAACCTTAGGGTTTGGTTTTAAAAGTTACGTTGGATATAGATTAAGGCTGGTAAGTGTATATATTTTTTTTAATTTATCGTTTTATGTAAATTAAAATTAATTTATTATATCTACTTTTAAATTAAATAAGAAATTAGACCTAATTTTATAATGTAAATATTTACTACTTAAGGCTGATTGTTATCTCTTTAGTTATGCATGTAATATCCAGCAGATTTGTGTTAAAAATTTAATTCTTCATCTATGTAAAAATCTTTATTTATTTTTTTGTTTTGAAAGTTTGTGAAAATGGAAACAGACAGAACCGAACAGTTTTTTGTGTTAGAATTCTATTTAATTCTTCTGTTAATGTTTAGAATTTAGAAACTGAAATTTGTTATTTTCTATGATTTAAAAATTTATTGAAAATAACAAATCTGAGCTTTTAAAAACTTGCTATCTACTTATGTTTTTGAGAACTTTCAGGAAAAGATTTCACTATAGAAAAGGCATTGAATTTTTAATGCCATCTACTGGAGATTGTGAGCATAATCCAAGAGTTTACAATCAGCTTTATCATTAAACACAAAGATGTGGAGACAATCACATTGATATTTTATAGATAGTATACAAACTATTTTCATTCAATTTATTTTCATAAATTTCATTATTTTATTTGCAGTTTTTTTTAAAAGTTATTATAATGTTCATACAAGTATGTTATCCACCTTTACAATTTATTATACATAAAGAACTGCAGATAATATGTATTGCTGTTCAGAAAGCATGTTACACATAAATAAATTCACACACCAAGAATTGTGTATATAAAACCTGCTTTCCTTCCATAACATTTTATGATACAAACATTAATTTTTCTATTTTTAAGCCAACCCATTTCATACTTAGGTTCTGTCACATTACATACTAAGCTTTTAAAAAATATAGTTTTATCCTCTTAATCTAGTCTCAACCACTATTATGTATACTTTGTAATGACAGGGATATTTGGATAGTTTATCAACATTAGAAAAATCAGGCATTTATATGATTCCTTTACTACAACCAAACATGAACTCAAGATTATATTACAAAGGGGCTACAAACAGAAAACTTTCATATCATTGATAGAACATCAGAAACAACAGATGTCCTACAGAACTATCCAAGGATGTTTTAGATCTTAATCTTATACCTTTTTTGGCTGAATCATCAATACTCAGACAATATTGATTACAAAGCTATTTGGGAACCTTATACATTTCTACATTAGAGCCGTGAAACAAAGCTACTTTTAGAAATTTCAGGCATATATCAATAGATCTCACTGTTTAAACTTTCAAATGATTACTTCAGTGCCTTGAGTCATATATTTAGATTTATATATTTATTATTTTATATTTATTTTCATAAGTATTATTCTTATTTTACATTTATTTTTAATTTTTTAAAAAATTTTTATTGGTTATTTTTATTATTATTTTATCTGTTTTTCCTTTTTAAATGATTTTAATGTTAATATCTTCTATTTATATTTACATTTGAATTTTAATATTTGCAAATTTAAACACGTTCTTTTTCTGGTCAAATGAAATAATACTTGTTTGACCAGAAAAAGAATAAAATATATGGAATAATATGGAATAAAAATATTCTGTATTGCCTGAAGGCCATGTCAAAAGTACTTGCAAATTTATGTTAATGGAATTAACACTTTACCATTACGAAGGAGATAGAGTATTTTGTATATAATTATTGGCATGATATATATTTTTATATATGAAATATTATAATGTTCATATATCGTATTTATCATTATAAATCACTTCTTTGCTGAGAAATAGATACCCACAATTTAATCGAAATAAATTCATCTTAACAACAACAATAATAAAAAAACAAAAATTAAAATTTTTAGCTACTAATCATATTTTTGCATAAAATAATATCCTAATTACATTTTTTGATATCTTATATATAAATATAAAATTAAAGTAAAACATTTTTTCATACATTAGAATCATACTTATCTGCCATTCCTTGCACATAGGGGTTTCAGATTAGTGTGAGTGTACAGGCCCAAAGAAAACGAATCATGTGACTCACCTATTTCTCTTTGGTACTGATTCTTTTTGAAGGTGGATGGGCACAAATAACATACCATGCTATGATATGCAATATTGTACATAGACATGAAATCTAAATAAACAGGAAATGTCACCTGTGGACATTTTAGACTGTTTTACATATTTGTGCGGAGACATAGCCTCTAAAGAAAGGTTCTCTCTGCAATGGAAAATAGTCGTTCCTGGTTATTGAACATGGCAAGCAACGAAGATAGGACTAGTATCCATTTATAATGTAATTTTTACTTTATTAAACTGTATTTTTGACAGCTCTTTTTACAAAGTGATATGACTAATATTTTTATGGATACGATAGCATATAGGCAATCTTACTGGAGGATATTCTGAATCACTGAGGGCTAGATTAGTGAGACTAATGTATTTTTGAATGTACTGCATGATGATCAGTTTTCAATATTATTCTACAAACAGATTATTATATACAGTTTAAATTAAACATTTGTTAAAAAATATGCAAATGCCTTAAATCTAAACTTTTCATTGCAATTACAACAAATGTCATGATAATTACATTTGCCAACAGACTATAATTTAGATATACAGGTCCTTTAATTTTTTTATTAAAGAACCTACTAAGATTTAAACAATTAAATGGCATTTGGAAATGTTGAAATAATAATTTTATTTTGTCTGAAAATATTTTCAATAAAAATTTGATAAATATAGGGTGGTCAAAAAGTTTCTGATATACTAAATTAAGTTTCAGACCAGATTAGTCATATTTTTTATCTCATGTATTTACAAAATAGGTGAAGTGATGCATTCAGCGAAGGAAATAAAAAAAACCCTTTTCTCCCAGATGTATTACGTTAACTGATTAGTATTCATTAGACTTGAATCCTGTAGAGTGTGTGTGGTCACGACTGCATGAATCCATATTTAAGTTATTCAGGCCATGCAAAATGATACATTAATTGATCAGGTGTAACAAGAATAAATACAGGAAAGCCTTGTTAATTTCAACTTGGATAGTTTGAAATCTCATTAGTTGGTAACTGTACTATTTGCCCTGATTGAGGATATGCAGATTTACACATTAAGCAATTTGATTAGTTTGAAATACAGTTACTTTGTAATTTGAAGTGAAAATTTTATCCAAACTGTCATATGCATATGTTAAATCATTCATTTAAATCAAAGTGCCTCCTTACTGTAAGAGAATATTATACCAAGAACAACTTTAATCTAATTTTACAGTGACACATTTTCAGGTGTCATATTATATATGGACTACCCATTTTTTCTTTTACTTCATAAAATATGGCTGGGTTTTGGTATTTCAAGATTGGGTTACAAGTATCAGATTGAGATATTTGAAATGTTCTGGTCATCCATGGACCACTGATGGTCCGTAGAGAAATTTGGAGATTGATCAACTGAAGGTTACGTGAAGCATACAAAAGAAATGCAAAATGTGTGATTTCTGTTTTTCACTCATCGCAGGTTTTTTATTTGAAGCCGAACATGAAATGACTGTTACCAATAAATAATAATGTCAATAAATCAATAAATAATTAACAATAAATAAATTTGTGAATGTGATTGTCGCTCTTCATGGAAAAGAGCCAAGAATTCATAAACTTATTTCAAACGAGCTGCAACAAACTTCACACTAATTTGTTATAATTAGAATGTTCACTAACACTATTAGTTTAAATAAACTACAAATGTACTTGGTTATTTGATTGTTTCAATTGAAAAACAAATCAAGTTTAGATGTCTTAGATCCATCTTTGGGGATGAAAATGCAAAACACACCTAAAAATGCATAATTAGCTTCAAAATGAAAGCATTAGACAGTGCATTGTTTTACGTTGAGTTTTTGATTTTTATTTGATAAAAATGGACTTAAGCTAGGTTCAAACTGTTGTATGAACCACCATGAGAGAACAAAACAAATACTAATGGTACGTAGATAAACTGTGTAGAATTTAATCAGTCAAACACACTAGTTCTGAAAAGATAATATATATAATGATTGTATTCTATAGATGTTTGTATTGCTTAAAGACATTTATGGTAGTGGTTTACGAGATTTAAAATTGTTAGTTTAATTATTTGTGAGCTCAGAAGTGTTGACGTCCACTGCTCTAGGCTACTACTTTTGAGGCCATATTTCGAGGAATTCTGCTTTACTTTTTATAAAATTAATTTGGCAATGTGACCTCACTGGACATGTGTTGCTTATTAACTGCAGTTTATTTATATTATTAATATTACTATTAATTAACGAAAATAGCATTCTGTATAAGTAGCTGTATTTCATTTGCTTAGTAAACTACATCAGTTACATGGCATGTGGCATATTATACAGAAATACGTAAATCTTGAATAATTTGAAATTTTAAGTTGCAAATATTCCATCCTCCAAATTTCAAACTAATAAGGATTTCCTATATATGTATGTATATAACATTGACATCATTAATTTTCTATTCGGCTTATGAAGCTATGCTAAGTACTAAGATTCTTTTACTGTCATAGCTAAGCTTTCCTATAGAGTCAGAAGCTTTTGCTACTCTTTACCTGATTATTACTAATATGTACATCACCTGCAGATGATAAATTATCCTCCACTTAATTTTAATAATTACTACTATCAAGGATAGAATATATTATTATAAAAATAATTTGTTCTTAAACTGTGGAGCAAAGATTCATACCAATAATTTGTCATTAACAATAATTATTTTTGAGATTTAAAGTTTTTTGCAACTGCAGTAAATCTTAAGGAAAAAATCTCTGTATTGAAAATGTAATGAGGTTGTCAAACTTGCCAAATCAGTTATTGATATGTTTAATATACATACATTTGCAAAACATTTCATGCTGATATGCAATAGTAATTAAATTTTGCACATGGAATGATAGTGAAAAAGTAAAAAGTATCACAGTGCAAGGATAAATTATTAAAGCACAGTTT